GGGGGGGGGGGGGGTGGGGGTGGAGCGGCCACACATGACTCACCAAGCAGACTTCAATTCTGGGTATTTACTAGGCTTGACTGTCTGCTTTGTGCTTGGAAACTCATTAAGTAGAGTTTGGCTTGTTCTCTCGGAACTTCGAGGGGTTTTTGCGTCCTCCGGTTTTCCTCCCTCACCAATAATTAACCCTTAGCTCTAGGATGTTGAGCACCAGCTTTAAATAAATAAAATAAATAATTTAATTGTACTGTATGTTTATTCCAGGTGATCAACGCGGCGCGGACGCTGGCTGCTCGACCTCGCAGTCGTGCAGCACGTGAAAATATGGAGGTTTTTAAAACCTCGTGGGAAACTCAAGTTCATCTTCTCGTTGACTCAGTCGATGAAATTACCGGTATCGATGAATTCCTCATTGTTTCAGGCAAGTTATTATGGGATACATGTAAATATACGTCTGTTGTTTACGGCTTGGGAGTGTTGGTAGTGCAGTGACTGGCGAGTTTGCTTTTTACCAGATCAGTGGCTAAGTGCTCGATGCTTGGAGAGGACGCGGCGATAAATAAAACTCATAAATTAAACATCCCTTGTAGAAAATCATATCGGCGAGGATGTCGAGACATGTATTCAGGCTTTGAAACAAAGAGATGTGGAATCATTCGACAGATCCGCTGGCCTAGTTCGTGGGCGGACAGAACGTGTTATTTCAGTTGTGATGGCCGAGATGGAAAATTTCGAACGAGGGCCGTACACCGAGGGAGTTGAAAAAACTGTCAGGTCACTCAAAGAAGACAGTAAGTGAATAAATATTTTTTTCAAATTGCTTAGTTCTCAGCCTCTTGTGGTCTTGAATTACAGGTCGTTTATGTAAGATGCCCGTTCGCTGGCTATCTAACTATCGAATTGTGTGCTCTGAATATATCGTACTCCTCCATTCTTTAATTTCCCCTTATCTAAATTTGTGTTTTACGTAGGCTATACGGTTTACGTACCTGGCTGGTTTATGTGTAGGTTGAGTGCGGACAACCATGGCTACTTTTCAGGCTCCCCTGCAGCAAAATTTTATTTCACCATTTCCTCCACGTAGCAAAGCCAGATGAATTTAAGTTTTTGTTCATGATGTTAGTTACTGCATGGTATATAATAAAATTTCCATGAGAGTTCCTGGACTCTCCTCACCATTCTAGTGTACACATTAAGAAAACTAACAGCGACTATAGTGTGCTTCACCCTAAAACTGTTGCTTTGCGTTATAGTAATTCCAAGGTTTGCTGATGTTGTTGAGTCAACGGTAGAAACCCTGAGTCAGAATCCGAGAGCGAAAATTGATGAAGAAAGGGTTATACAAACATCACAACTTGTAAGTAGTTGTTTTCTTATATAGCACGATTTAAACTTTAGCGAGGCTATTTGCACCATGCATGCATGGTGTTCATGATAACGCTGTTACCTGTAATAAGGTTCTGGGCGCACTGGCATATCAGAAATTTCTCAATAACCTTTTGAAAATGTTATACTCGCTAACTGTAGTCCGATTGGCGTAATATTTTCCCAGACCGTAGTTAATAGATGTCTTTTCTTATATAGTGATGTTTCTTATAGCCAAATTTCTCAAAGCTTAAATCTCCGCAATCCTAGCTCTCTTATTTAACCCTTCAGCAACAACCCTTCTTTCCCAGTTCAAGTGTATTTTTGCAGTGCAATATTGGGTCCTCTAATGAATGTGTATGTATAGGTGTACGATGCCATAAGAGATGTCAGAAAGGCTGTGGAGTTAAAAACGGTATGTTCAAGTTAAATGTTACAGCTATGAGCGGTTTGTCCTTTGTGAATATAAGATGTTAGTGACCTTCTGTCGTTGTTTCGTAATAGAAACGTTACGCGGACGGCGGTGTAATGGGAATGGAGGAGATATATACAGCAGAAGTTCGACGACAACAAGAATTGGCCATTGCCAAGGAAGAAGCTGCTTATCAACAATTACAAGCTGCAGGTAGGGAATGTTTAGCTTTGCAGAGATAACGCGACCAGACTCAACCAAACCACAAATGCGGAACCTCGACTAAACCTCAATCTATAGTCTTTTTCTGAGAGACGTTATCCCCTGTCGATCCGTAGTGCCACCTCAATACCCCCATGTTCTTACATTATTTTTCCTTATCAAACTTCTCAGGAAAAGTTCATTACGACATTCGGGCGTCTGGAGGGGACGACATTGGGGGCATGGGTGTGGCTTCAATCAAAGTCAATGGAGTTGAGTATTGTCACAAGAGACTGGGGCATAATGTTGTAGTGTTAGATCCCGCGGGACAGTTCGTGGCATCGCGAAATTTCGACACGACTACCCAAGAAGGAGGGGTTGCTATGGGAAGGTTTCTAGATGAGTTACCGGAAGATCATATTGTACTCATAGCCACACAGGACACTACAGGTAGGAGCACTGGCTAATATAATCTAATTTAGTCCAATCAACTACTATTAATCATAAACTCTGGTGAATATGCGCCCTGTCCCTGGTTGTTTAGTGTGATTTTCTCTGGTAATTCCAGCATCAGAGAGTAATGTTAAATTCCGAGTAAAATTACTAATATTCCTAATAAAATTAATAACGAGTGAAATTAAATCTTTGAATTAAATCTTTTCCTGTTGTAGGAGTTGGGGCGGAGCATGCAGGCCCGGCATTAGAAAGACTTGGTGCTAAAGGGCCTTTCAACCCTGGCTACAGATCCTCGTGGGCGTTTGCGGGTTACACGGGGCCTGATGCTAAACCTTGGATCAGAGAAGAAAGCCGTCCTGCGGAGGAAGGGCCAACCTTAGTCTCGAACCTGATATATACACCTGCTTATGAACAAGGTAGGTTTAGAGCATAAACTCTGAACAAGCTTTCGTTACCAGAACTACCTGAAAAATACAAGGAGAATTTCTCCATATATTTAGAGCATAAAACGTGATGTGCATACGACAAAGGCATCTATAAACTTGCGATATTCTCTCTTAAAAGTTACATGTCTGGTTATCCCAGTCGGAAAACCTGACCGACTGGAATAACTCAGCCTCTATTTACTAACAATATGCGGATGTTTCTAGGCAAAATCAAGATCGTTATCCGTGCTGAAGGTTCGGACGACCCGGACAAACAAGGCTACTGTAGTATCAAAGTGAACGGGGTAGAACGTAGTTCTCGAACACGAGGACATAATCTGGTCGTCTTAGATGACAGTGGAAACTTTATTACTTCGAGCAGTTTCGATACAGGAGACGCATCGAAGGATGAAGGCATTGCTATGGCACGGTTTCTCGATGGTTTGCCTAACGAAAGGATAGTCTTGATCTCAACACAAGATACAAAGGGTAAGACTTATTAGAGCACTACACACAGCATTCTGTAGGTCCTGTGCTTATCTCTGTGGTAATTTCAACAAATTCTTCCTACTTCTTTATTTACTCCTGCAGGTATTTAACCAGGGAACAGCTGCTCATATCTTATCCTCCATCGTTTTCTATTCCTTGTCACTTTCATCCTTAATATTTAAATGTTTTTTTGCTCAGTTCCTGATTGAACTTTCTTGTTTCCACAGGTGTGGGTGTGAACGAAGCGAAAGACTCCTTGGCACGCATTGGTGCAACTGGCAACGTCAACCCGGGTCCTGGAGGATCATGGGTATTCATGGGATACACAGGTCCTGATGCAGTAGATTGGGTTACACAGATGGCAAGGCCGAGACATAAAGGACCATGTGTCGTGTCAGAGTTCATCACGTTACCTGCGGCTGTTAAAGCTGTCGAAGAAGAACAGGGTAAGTTTAATGGCAATATCACTAAGGGGCTGTGTATATGAGCCAGGATGGCCCTTTTAGTCGGGCTCAGACGTTAGCAAACCAAAATCCTCGTTTGATTCGGGCTTTGATAGTGTAAGGTTTGCCTACTCAGTCATTGAGTCAACAAAAAAAAACTTAAGAAATAAAATATATATTATTGAGAAACATATCCATTCCGATAATTTTTGTTGTGTTAAACGACGTTTTTACTTGTTATCCTAGTGACTTCTCGTCGACAAATGTTGACGATCAGTCGTATTTTCTATTGATTCAGTTCGTCCATCCTCAATGGGGGAAGTTGAAGGTTTTGAGTATGAAGGCGAAGGTGGGAATGAGAGTGATGACGAAGAAGATGTTAGTATCCATGATATGAGCGACAGAGTAAGTATACTTTGACTTGGAACAAGATACGTTGTGCTACTATATATTTTTATAGTTTATTTCAAGAAACTTTGGCCATAAGTTTCTGAACTTTATGTTGCCAGTAATTTCGAATTTGGCTGCAAAAAGGATTTTGACAAACATCGTTTCTCACGTGTTTAGGCAAAAATGCGAAATTTACCTGCCGAAGAGAAAGCGAAGATCGAACGATTGTCAACCGAGTTAAGATCGGAGAAATCTCGTTTTGAAAATATGTTATCACAGTGGGATGAGTCCGGTAACGAGATTGTTGTCTTGGCAAAGAAAATGTGTATGATGATGATGGATATGTCGGACTTTACCAGGTATTCAGGTCGTTCCGTCACGCAGCAATATGTCGTGCCAAGCATGGTGCCTTTACACTTACTGCCTATCTAAGGGCCACGCCCTAAGAATTGGGCCATATTATATGCATGAAAAACGAAGTCAAATTGGTGTCATGTTCCAATATGAGGAGCTCGTATTTTAGTCCCATTGTTAGGGAATTTAGTCATGAGTCAATCCTGATACTAACCATCTGTTCCCAAATGGTTGTCCTGAAATCATGTGAGGATTTGTCGCAACATGTAAGCTTCATCTTTCATTTTGACCAGGGGTGCAGGTCCTCTGAAAACAACAATGGACGTCATTACTGCGGCAAAGGTAAATTATTGCAGGTGCTGGGGGATGATGCCACAGAATTTACACACACTATACATGTTTTTATTATGTTTGTAGCGTATCGCTCGAGCCGGGGCCAGAATGAATCAGTTAGCAACAGAAGTAGCAGAAAAGGTTGGTGGCTTTAGAAATTCCTTGCATGATAATGCTCTTTCATTGACAATATTATTTAACATAACAATATTAATTATTACAACTCCAAACGAATTACATTCGCGAGCTAACGTTTCCACACTCCAAGAGCTGATTGTACGAAGCCAGCCGTTTAAATCGGCCGTTGATTGGTATAACCCAGATTAAACTTTAGTATATAAAAGTTAAAGTTTTTTTTATTAGTTGTAAGGTCCATATCTCCACTGTTTAATAGCGATTTAATGTTACAAAGGTTGAAAAAATCACTATCCGGTGGATCGTCCCATCCGTTCTTCGTACAATCGACGCCAGTCTAGCAGTCTTCTGTCTTCATCAGTGTCCAGTAGGGTCTAGTGTCTTCATCAGTGTCTAGTGTCTTCATCAGTGTCTAGTGTCTTCATCAGTGTCTAGTGTCTTCATCAGTGTCTGGTGTCTTCATCAGTGTCTAGTGTCTTCATCAGTGTTTAGTGTCTTCATCAGTGTCTAGTGTCTTCATCAGTTTCTGGTGGTCTTCATCAGTGTCTAGTGTCTTCATCAGTGTCTAGTGTCTTCATCAGTGTCTAGTGTCTTCATCAGTGTCTAGTGTCTTCATCAGTGTCTAGTGTCTTCATCAGTGTCTAGTGTCTTCATCAGTGTCTAGTGTCTTCATCAGTGTCTAGTGTCTTCATCAGTGTCTAGTGTCTTCATCAGTGTCTAGTGTCTTCATCAGTGTCTAGTGTCTTCATCAGTGTCCAGTGTCTTCATCAGTGTCTAGTGTCTTCATCAGTGTCTAGTGTCTTCATCAGTGTCTAGTGTCTTCGCGAATGGAGTGGGTACATATTGAGTATTGACGATATTTTATTTACTATCTAGTGCGCTCACTCTCAGTCAAAGAATGATCTACTAGCTTACATTCAACGAATATCACTGTTCTCACATCAACTTACAATCACAAGCAGAGTTAAAGCTGATATTCAGACTATCAGTGGAGTTGAAGTCGTCTCAGCGGTAAGATATTTATTTATTCCATACATTTTAAACCACATGGATAGCTACAATTTTGGCCGACCATTTTTGCCGACAATTTTGGCTTGTAGAGCGACTGAACGTTTGCACTAGTTTCCCCCTAAAAGTTTTTTTTATCTCTTGCTATATAAGTATATGACAACTCCCCTCCCCCATGCAATGTTGTTTCGATCACTGTAGTATTTCTAATTTTTATTTCATGTAGCTGGAAAGTGCGACTTCTCTAATCATGTCTGCAAAAAATTTAATGAACGCTGTTATTTTAACTGTCAAAGCTTCGTACGTCGCCTCGACCAAGGTAAACCTTGTTTTATACTGCAGAACTGGTTTAGCCTCTGATACCGTAATATATATGAATGTCGACTAACTTTTACTTGTTTGTCTTTTAGTTTCGTGGTTCAAACAAATCTGCTGTAAGTATCATCACATTCATTTTACACTGTCAACGTTTCTGGTGTCACAGTATGAATTTTGCATAGGTCAAATTCTAAGTTTTGAAGGATTTGTTAGAAATATTTGAGGTACTGACTTAGTGTTTAACACTGAGTCATTTGTTAACAAACATTTCTTACAAATCTTTCAAAATTTACCTATGCAAAATTCAACCTTTTTTGCCCAACTGGGGTTCATAGAAATATTGAAAGTCCAGGCGGTCTTTCGCTCTCGCGTTATGTCCATCTGGGGTATGGCTTATTTCCTATACCTTTCTCCTAATGAGGAAATCATGATTTCAAATCTTAAATTTTCATCATCAGATAAACTGGAAAATGAGAGCACCTGGTAAGAAACCGCTGATCAGCTCGCAACCGAGCGAGGACTCATACTCGCGTGTTCCTGCGAAATCCACACGTCATCGTGAGCAGACTCCGCTCCAGGCCCTCAGCGAATTCGACACACAGGCCCCAAGGAAAAGAACCGACTTCTAGATATGTTTAGAATCGATAGGTATTTATACGTAATTATTGTAGTCACGCGTGTCCACAAAACGTCTGCCTCAATTTTAGATACGCTGCCAAGCTTATATTTTTTGGCAAGGTGTAGGCTCAAGTAATTAAATACAATAACCGAGCAAAATGCCTTTACGACCGAACCTTCGACACTCCATTCCTTCAGCACAGATGATAGATTGTACCAGATGTCTCACTGTGTATCTATCCTTATGATTTTCGTGTCCGCAATTTTCGCGAGGCTATCACGCCAGATGACGCGTGCGATACTTACTGCCAAAATGGCGCTTACTGCCAAAATGCGTGATTGCTCACGTTTCATGGCGTGGATTACACTTACTGCCAAAATGGCGGCCAACGCGTGCTCATAAAAAATCGCGGACACAATTTTGGCTGGGTGAGGCATCTGGTATAATCTATCATCTATGCCTTCAGGGACGATCTAAGATCGCAACTTGGCTCCTTATATACGCGAGGGATGACGTCATTTGCCTCTGCATCTCAAAGGGGATACGTTGTCATTTTAGATCTCCCTTGATGAAAACATTAGAATGGAAACATTAGAATTTACATTGGCAGACACTTTGGAACGAAACTGGCCAAAAATTGAGTGAATTTTTATTTGCATTGATGCTATTGTATTTATGTTAATGTGTATGAAATGTAGTTATATGGATTTATTTTTAGAAAGGATTGAACATATATACTAGTTAGTAGAAAAAACACGTATACAATGCGTTTATCTTCGGGGGGCGGTTGTAATCAGTAGAAGTTTTCTGAATTTTTGAAATAAACAGACGTACAGAAATACATAAACTAAAACGGCAGGTTAAATTTTAACCCAGGGTTAGCGCTAATTCAGCTTTCAATAACCGGTCCCAGATATTATAGAACTGCACGTGTGCTACAAAATTTTGAACTTTTAAGTTCAAAATTTTGTAGCACACTTGAAAAGAACAGGCACGCGTGGATCAAGAATTGCGACACAAATCATGTGATTTTACCTTACCATCCCGCGCGTGAATGCATGATCCACGCGAGATTTTTGGTAAGCATGTGAAATGTGCAATTATCCGCCATTTTTGATGTACTGCCTCTAACACATCTGAGTGTACGCACCGCGAAATGCGACTTTTTGTCAATATAGTTGTGTATATGATGGTAATTTACAGTTACAACTTTGAAAAGTCGCTTAGACTGTCTAGATTCTTTGATGGGGGGAAGACAGTACTCCAAAATGGCGGGTATTGGCTCGCGTGAGAAAGGCTAATTTGTTAAATGGAAAATCTCGCGTGGAATGGTAAAATCTCGCGTGATGGTGCGCTAAATCCCCCAATTTGCGGGATTCCTGATCTATGTATATACTATAGTATTTGCATGGGATTATTAATAATGGATGTGTTAGGAATAATTTTTATTATTTCTTATTATTACTACCAAAATACATGCAAAAATTTCATACAGATATGTCACTGCACTTTGAACAACTCAAGACAGTCAAAGCAAGTTTAGTGACCACAGTTAAGTGCTTCACATTTTGCAAAACACCTTGAACACCATTTACTACCATAATAAATAGTAAATGTATACTACTATGTAGTAAATCAACTGATAGTCTCAAGAGAAGCTTATAGTTTCTTACAAAAATATCATGCAATACGTACATAAAAAGGAGCGAATTAAAATACTGTTCATTTACAGCTTGCATTTTTAGTGTACATCTAGTAAGCAAGTATTATAGCATTGTGTAGTGTAGTAGTAATCATTCTCAACGCGGTCTGCATGGCATTTAGCATATGTCCTCACAGCTTCGGCGATATTTAGAAGAATCGTTTGCGAGCAGCTTCTTGCTGTTTCTTATAAACAACAACTCCGACTATACAGAGAATTACAGCAATAACAAGAATCCAAAACAGCCAAGTGAAAACTTTCGTAACTTTCGGCGAGAAGCTTCCCGTCGTTGGGTCATCAGCATGCTCTGAAAAAAAGGCATTCTCTTTATTGGCAAAATGGCGAACATTTCGCGTAAAAATCCTCCCAAAGTCCCTCGCTATACTGTAGTGTTTTGGGCAAACAACCACGTCGAGACCCAAGGGCTGAGCTGGTGGTTGAGGTGGGGATTCTATAAAGCTACGTTGACACTGTGTACCGGGCTAACTTTCCGTATAGCGTCGTGAAAAAACACTCATCCGTACCTTTTAGGAACGCTATTTTCCGAGGAATTATTGCAACGGAGAGATGTTGTTTCGTTCAGCTTCTGAAAGTTGTACAGGTGCTTTTTCCCGCCGCTACGGAAAGCTATCGTATAGTGTGGACGTAGCCTAGGTTGGTCAGAGAATTTTTGCGAGAATTGTTGGCGAAGGCCGAGGCTCAAGGAAAAGACCAATCCCTTTAAGAATTGAGTCTCGACTACAGCATGTAGTGGATGTTACCAACCTCTATGAGCTTCGGCATTTGATGCAAATGGGACGATATCGTCTGTATTTCCTGCACTTTGCACTGTCTGTTCATCCTTTTCAACTTCTAACTCGTAGAATTTTAATCCAATTATATCGTGATGGTCTGAAAAATTATGAAATAGATAATCAGAAATCATTCATTCCATTGAGGTGAGCTTCCCTGCAAACCGGGTTCATTTGAACAGGCCCTGAAACCCGTCTATAGCCTAGGATAACCGCATGACAAACCAACCTGCCAGATCTCCAGTAGCGGCGCTAAGTCCAATATAATAATTAGTTGGAAGGCGAACACCAGATACTTCAAAGCAAAGTTTCCAATCACCATCGTTATCAATATCTGTCATCACGGTTAACGTTTCTTTGCTTCCCAAGTATTGAATAAGAGCGTATGTATCCCCGTCAACATTTCGCATTGATGCCTGGAAAAATTAGCAAATTCATTTTACTTTGAATAATCTGTTCAGTCATCATATGGAAATATACAGTTGCGGACCTTGTGATCGTGGTTTGAAGAACATAGTTTGGTTGTAAGAAGAAATGGGCGGGTCGGTGTCCTGACATCAATATAATTATGTAGCTTTCAAGTTACTAGTATATTGAGAGAGTTTAATGGGGTTTGTGAAGCACGATAACAAGTTGTTGAAACAACTTTGTTGAGTCCAGGACTGTAGCGAAGAAGCTAAAGAAGGGAGGGGGGTGTAGTATCGCATTTGCCGACAACATTTCAGTCGCTAAAATATGTCACTTATTAGTTATACGTGTTAGCCCTCGTTGTAGTGTAACTGCCGCTGAATATTTGTAACAGGATGTGCAAGCCAGCCCCTATGATGACATAAAGGTTCACAAAGAACTAATGACACATAAATTACGAACCGAGCATCCTTCAATTTGAGAATGAGTGCCATCGCGATCATGATCATAGTTGACAGTCCCATTGCTTATCATTGCTGAAACATACGGGTGGTCATGCTAAAAGACAAAAACACATGACATATTACTGCGTGTATTGAAACTACATAAGAAAGATCATGAACAGGCCATTAAAACTTACTGCATGTTCACCATTTTGATTGCTGTATGTATCAAAGAAGATGCCCAAACCGGAGAAGAAATCTCTGCTACCAAATACTGGACCTGCATAAGAACACTTGTATGTTAATAACTGCAGTAATATATTTTAATAAAAATAAATAAAGAAAATATGATGAATTGTGTAACTATATTTACCCATCTCCATTTTATCTCTAGCATAAAATAAAGCAAATCCATCGCCAAATAGTGTATCTCCAGAACCGTGAATGGAAAAATGTAGATGAATTTCCCAATCACGAGATGCTACTGGCTGAAATGTTAGGGCAAATTTTTTTAGTTCTACTATAATTAATTACCATATATCCCTAATGCAAAATTATAATAGAGTGGAACCCCATTAATACGGCCAACTAGGATGGGCTAAAAAATTTGGCTTTATTAACAGGGTGGCTATATTAATGGATTATGAGAGAATATATTGTCTTGGCATTTTTCAGGGACAAGAGTAAGTGGCCATAATAAAGAGGTGGCTGTATTAACAGGGTGGCTGTAAGGTGGGGTTCCACTGTATTTTCAAAAAAGAACCACAATGGGACATGGTGGTACCAAATTTCACTCACTAAAGCATTCCAAAGGAAGCCTTTCTGGCTTTGATGATCTTCTGTCAGTCTAATGTAGTTATTGGTTATCATTGTACTTCCGCCAAAATCCCAAAATTGTAGACCCATGCTACCAGCTAAATGAAATGATCAGATATGTTGAATAAATATTGAAGAATTATCATATACTTGTAAAATAATAGAGTGCTTATCCAGCATAGGCATACAAGAGCTGACTCATCCCCAGTTGTCTCTGTGACAATCTGTTTAATTAAAGCACAGGCAGAATACTCTGTTTCAAGCATGGGCGGAGGCAGGAAAGATGCAGCGCTCCCAGCATGTGCGCTCACCATCTGCATGCCCTTGCTACCTTTCCTGCTTCCGCCCACGCTTGAAACACAGATTTTGTGGATACAGGTCCGTCACTAGCCTGGTAGATGTAATCACTGGCACTATTTGTCTTACACGGTCACTTTCCTCCCTCTCTAATTAAACAGGTTAAATTAAAACAGCATAAATGCCATTGCATTCCAAGCTAATCTTCGGTAGTCAAGTGGTTGAGGTTCTGGGTTTGAATCTTGCTTTCTCTGGGTTCAAATCTTGGTTGGGCATAAAAAAAAATACCTGTGGGTCCGGTTCCCGACTGACCCTATTTTTTTCTGCCGGCCCTATTATTTTTTCGACACGATTGACCGTGCGACCTTATTTTCTCCGGGTGGTTGCGGGCTACTGCCAAAATGGCGTCTGTTGTCACACTAATTATTGAAAGAAATATTTTTAAAAATATTATTTCCGACCTACCGGGAACCACAGGTATTTTTTTTTACGCCTTGTGTTAGGATTTAATTTGTTTACATTGTTTATATTCTTAGTTTTTGTGTTAGGTTTAGGGTTGGTTTTTAGGATTTAAGACAGTGGTACAAAATCTAAAAATAGTGTATTAAAATACTGTGTGATGGTATTAATATATTGTATATTGCTCATGCTAGTATTTTATAGTAATTATTAATAGTTCCACGATCGTTAGACTTTCAATACATGTTTTTCATTTTACAATTTGGCTAACACGACAATGACGACACTAACCAAAATACGAGTCAGTGATGCAACTTTCTATTTATTTTATGAATCCGGGCTAGTCATCACATACTTTCAATATGGCAAAATTTTACCTTGAAATGGTTTCGTGAGCGAATGCTCACGCCTCACGTAGCCGTTGGAACTTGCAAGCTCAATCCCATATATCAAACTTAAATTTCTACAGAAAATTACAAGAAATAATATTTTACTCGACAAGAGATGAACAACTCCTTCGCTCGCCATATTTGAACTATTGAACTTTGCTTTGTGCTTCCACTTTGCTTCGAAAATTGACAAGGAATGTTCCGCACTTCACAAAAAACTGTTACTGAATTATAAATAAAACGATTTAAAACTTTGGAAAAACATTCAAAATTATGCTCTTTTCAATGTTTTCATACATTCTAATATTGGAAACTCTTTGAACAAAATAAATATCGATATTAATCATTATCCTTTGCAGTGTTTTATTTTTTCCTTGAAATTTCCAAATTGTTATAACAATCTTCTTCCACCCCCCTGCTTAACTGAGGAAACAATACATTTTAAGGGGGTTCGGGAATTAATGCAGAAACAAGATGGCGCTTTCAGCAGCAACTTCACAACAAAAAATGACTCGTACAGATTGGAAAAAAGAGAAAGAATTAGAAGAGGCAAGGAAAGCAGGAACTGCCCCAGCTTTACAGGATGAAACAGGAAAGTACGTGGACAGATATTGAGTCTTCAAGTGTTTTTTTAGACTTTTTATCTATATTTATTTTAAAGTGTGAATGCTTTTACTTTAGATTTTCATTTTAGTTTTATATACATTACATATAGTCATAGATATTGCACCAGGGTAGTTGGCCAATACTTAATACTGAAAGTACAAATAGTCATTTTAATGCATTATGCATCAGTCAGTCGTTTGCCCCAGAGAGGGGAGAGGGGTATCAGGCATACCCATGGGAATTGACATTTTATCAAGACATTTTAGTCCATTTCCCCTATGAGTGTACTCACTTCACTGGATATGCTGAATTCCTGAAAAATATCCTGCCAGATTATCAGGCTGGATATTGATTAAAATCATTAAATATTAAGGTTCAAGCCTGACCATTCACACATATTTATTTTCATTGGTTATAAAGTATCCAAAACAATCATTGATTTTATTGTTTGCTTTCTGTAGAGACATCAATCCACATATTCCTCAATATATTTCAGATGCACCCTGGTACTATGGAGCTGTAGGGTATGTATTGACTTAATGCAATAATAGTAATAATACATGGGTGCGCGGAAATACCAGATTTATTT